CATGAGCAAGGCTCTCGATAGCGTAGGGTAGGAATAGCCATACCTGCAGGGCTGCTCCCGCCGCTACCATAAGGACGAGCTCCACTTTGGGACCGCGAGTAGCTCCCAGCTGTACTAGGGCCCTACCTCGGTACACCACTCACAAACTGGCATCCCGCACTTGGAGGCTTGTGGAGAGGTGTGAGAATCGGCATAGTAGCATGACCATCTGTATCAGTCTCCACTACAACGGGATAGCCAAACATGCAGGAACCGTGCGTCTGCGTCTAACCATGCCTATTTTCGACCCTCCGCTACCATTGCTCTCCAGCTGGAATGGACAGCGTTGTGCTGGACCTTTTCAGCAGCCCTAGAAGCGCCACATCGCGCAATGTAGTTTAGCGAGCAAGCCCTGGTAGCCTGCATCGGGTAAGGCAGCCAAGCCAAGGCGTGTATCTCAGCCGCAGTACCCGCTCTGATTGGCTGATGCTTATAATTAGCGGTGCGGCCTTCGCGTGGTCGTCCGCTGAGTGTGAACGTGAAAAGTGCGTGCCCGCGTAGGGTTGAACCTGTGCGTTCAAACGAACAACGCTCGCGAAAGCCACGATCAGCCACGCGACGGCTGTGCTGGGCACTCCGACGACTAGGAGCCAGTAGTATGACGTCGATGGGACAGTTCCTGAGTTGTTGCAGACCGTTGCAGCTGAGGTGGTATGGAAATCTGGTGTCATGGGCAAGTTGAGTCATGGCTGAACTTACGACATCTTCTGGTCCCCGGTTCGGCTGCTTCGTTCACAGTTGCGCTTATGCAGGAGAGTACAGTCTAACGTCTTCATTCATGGTGCTGCTGGAGCACTTTTGACGTCTGAGAGGTCGTATCATGCTACCTGTTGTTATCGTCATGGTTCACGTCTCGGTCATACTTCAGCGACCCACATCCTCCTTGCAGCCCCACGGCCATGGCTCCTTAGTCCTTGTCTGCGATTGACTGCAGTCGCTCATCGATTTCTTCCTCGGTCAGCGCCCTGAAGGTTGGGTCTGTGCCCTCCTGTCCATTGGTCTTGGGTCCTCCTACGATACCAATCTCCAATTCGTTCTTCTTGAAATCGACCGACAGGACAGTGCTCAATGCGGTGATTGCCAGCTCGACAACCTCCTCCCAGTTACCCTCAGCGTGCTCCTTGTTCTTCAGCTTCTTCTCGAGGAAGTTGAGCGCCTCTTGCGTCTTTGGGCCAGAGGCTGTTGCCTTGTATCCTACGTAGTAGCCAGCTGGATCGCACTTGTACAGTTGGGGGCCAAATTCCGAGTCGAGAGAGATGAGGGTCGTGGCCACACCGAGCGGTCGCATATAAGCCTGCACTTACTTAGCATTGACTCGCACCTTGCTTCCATGTCATGACTTACGCGCTGTGTGTAGACCTGGCTGATGTTGGCTATCCTCTTGGCCAGCACGTCGCAGGGCATCTCGTAGCCGTACTTGTAGCGGAACTCGGCAGCCTCACCCCGCGCTCTGCTCACTGAAGCTCTCGCGTCGGCGATGGATCCAGTCATGACACAGCCAACTGAGGGTGACAGGCGGAAGATGTGGGACACGGAGGACGGGTCGATGAGCTTGTCCTGTGTGCAAGTGTCAGTACCATGTGCAGCCCTCGGCACCTGCCATACGTACGGGCACCTTCTTCTGCGAGATGACTACTGCACAGTCCTTGCCCCGCACGCCCAGTGATGTGATGTTTGCTGCCGTAATCGCCTTGAACGCATACTCTGGTGCATGTGTCAGTGGTGCTCGATGGGTGAAGCCGCGGGGCTATGTGTGTATGTGTGTGTGAGAGAGAGAATGTGCGTACCGACTTGGTATAGACGACCTTGGTCCGAGAAGATGGTAATGTGTCGGTCGTAGCCTGCGCTTCCTGTATGACGAGGGCTGCTGTTAGCATGAATGCGGCAAACACCAGGTTATAGCTTCCAACGCACCAGACATGATGGCGGGTCGTGGGGTTGGGTATTTGTAATGGACGTCTTCAGCTTCAGCACGAGGTTGCGGTAATCTGCGTAAGCTCTGCGGGCGGATGCGGTCTCTGGGTCGAAGGCGAGGTTGTCGGCGTTGGCTGTCACTACACGCGTTGCTTGTGGCCTGGAGCTCTGGGATCGCCGTCACTTGGTCTGTGCCTTCCTAGCATCAGCCCCGAAATTCTCTGCCTGCGACCTCTCATTCGACCTTTCCATACTGGCAAGACGTTGTGCTTCAGCTGATTCGGTCATGCGCGATGCGATTTAACCTCTGCATCTAATGTTACAGATATCCATATTCCCTATCTGATCATGGCTCAAGACGGCGCCAGAGTTCCCGCTTGGAAGCGACTAGGTCTCGCCCTGAAGAACCAAACCTCGTCCGGAGTCGCCGTACCTGAACAACAAACATCTTCTGCCGACCCACAACCATCTACAGCCTATAGTGTGCATGAGACGTCTCATGAGCCATCTGTTCCATCCGATGAGCCTGCCGTAAATGGCAAATCCTCAAAGCTTGGCAAGCGGAAACACCAACATGAGCCAGCCGACGACCATCAACAGGATGCTAAGAAGAGCCGGAACCATGTTGCCGAGAGCGAGGTGAACGGAGCCGTCAGCCACAGCCTTCCCGTTGTTCCAATCCTTCAAGGTGCTGAGGGAGATGCTGTCATGGAGGAAGCACCAGCATCAGGCAAGCCAATCAAAGGAGATTCGAATTATCGAAAGAAGAAAGAGAAGCCAGTCAAACGCCGGAGAGAGAAACACGATTCTCAGGATGGTGATTCTCAACCTCAGGCGCGTCCAAAGCACGGATCCGCTACCTCACCAGATGAGCCGGCGTACGCGACAGCGCGCCCAACTTTACTTGCTTCCACAGAGCTGGATCACACCGACACCACCGCAACCCTGACACCGCAGAAGCTCACCAAGAAATCCAATCGAAAAGACCCTTCAGGTTCACCCCCATTAACGGACCGAAGAAAGTCTGTCGCCTTCACTCCGGACACCAAAAAGTCTGACGGCAATACTGGTCAGGACTATTTCAAAGCCTGGGTTGCTGAGCAGAAAGGAACTGGAGCCGTCTCTCAGCCACCAGAAGTCTCCAACTTCGTTCTACACTCGCTGATCGCTGAGGAAGAGAAGACTGCTAGAAGGAACGGACAATTGGACAAGAAGCAGGCGACGACAGAAGCAGCAGCAGAAGCAGAAGAAGCCCCTAAACCGAAAACAGCAGACACTACAACTGAAGAGAAACCAACACCAAAGCCTTCACACAAGCCTGTCGAAGCAAGCACAGCCTCAACGCCAGCGCCAGCGTCAAAGGGCAAAAAGAAGGACCCTTCTGTATATATTGCCTACCTTACACAGTACTACAACGATCGCGATAACTGGAAGTTCAACAAAGCGAAACAGAACGACGTTGTTGACAACGCTTTGAACATCTTCCGTATTCCTAACGAACACACTGACGCCTTAGTTGAATATGTCGCTGGTCTAAAGGGAGCTGGTGTAATCGATCGCTTACGTGAACGCTGCAGAGCAACAGTCAAAGATCTTGAGGAGCAAGACGCTCAGATGAACGAAGCTGATGCTAAGAGGGTTGCTCAGGAGGACGCAGAGCATGAGCGGATTCTTAAGGAACGGAAACGGAGGAAGACAGAGGGCGACATGACAGACCTCGCGAACCACGAGTACAGCCCTGGCTTTATTCGACGACTACAAAGGCGACGAGCGGAAGCGCTCCTTAACGCTTTGGGTCGCGCTGCGCCTGTGTCACCTGCCGTGAATCCGAAGTCAAGCATCAATCCGCTGGTGGAGCATGTTGAGCCAGCGAAACCGATCGCGCGAAAGAGAAAGCGTAGGACAGAAGTCTCTAGTGATGAGAGCAGCTCGGACAGTAGCGATGATGATAGCTCTGATTCTGAAGCTAGCAGCGACTCAGAGTCAGGATCTGACAACGAACTTCCTGCGAAGAGCACAACTAGCTCCGGAAGCTCGTCAGAGAGCAGCGACAGTGACAGCGACAGCGATAGCGATAGCGATGGAGACAGCGATTAGGTGAAGATGTGGATGATGGAAACGAACGAAGATAGTACCATCAATGTTGTCCTTTCGATCATTGTGGGAGACAGGCGCGAAGTTGACATGACATTGTGCTACTTATGCTGCTGCACATGTACATACCAAATGTGCTCGGAAGTTAGCCTCTCTTCCGAGTTTTCAATACCAAAGGCATCTGACAGTACTGGCCTGAAGTTCAGTAGCATTTCCTACAGTACATTGTGCATACCCAATCGATGCATGTACGAGACCCAACTTGGTTAGTGCATCGTCAATGTGCATCGGGATCCCCGCTCATTTGCCTCCACATACTACACGAACGTTCGTTGATTGCTTCACTATCAGTACCAGACCTATTACAACAAGCAGTATCCCAATTCATGGCATTACCACATCTTCCCACTGAACTGATCGAGCACATAACCTCCTATCTTGACCTCCCAACCAGTTGTTCCCTCCGTCTCACCAGCTCATCTCTCAGCGAACAAACCTCACATGTATTCAAAGACCGCTTCTTCTACCAACACACTTTACAATGGACTCAAGAAGCCTTCTCTAGATTACAGGAGATGACTTCACACTCACACTTTGGCAACGGCCTGCGACATCTCATCGTAGACGCCACACCTCGCCACTCGATTCATCTTTGGCAAACACAAACACACATCTCAAATACCCAGGGTATATCCACACCCTACGGAGTCGTATCAGCCACCCGTGCTCTGGAAGAAAAGCGGGCAGCTGATAGCAAGGTAGCAGATGATATAGCTACCTTCTTCAGCGAAACGAGGTTCGATCGGAAGTGCCTAGTAAGCCTCTTCGAGAGATTGGAGCAGCTAGAGTCCATTACCTTTGCGTACGAAGGCATGGATGATAGGTACGCCAAATTCGCAACAAGGTACTGTAAGAGCAGCCAGCATGAGATGTCTCGGCCCTTTGTATCCACCATGTCTGCTATCGCGACGTCCAAGATACAAGTTCGCAGCATCAAACTTGATAGCGTGCAAACATTTGGTGCTGTGGGAATCGGAAGACTTGAGAATATAGCACCCTCGCTTCGCCATTTCGACTACGCTTTCGAGAAGCTAGGTACGCTGCAGTTGCATTTGAGGGATCTGCGGTCTTCACACTCGGGTTTCGAATTGGAGGCTCCACGCGCACCTTTTGTAGTACGGTTCCTGGCCAAGGCGCGGAATGTGAAGAGACTGGAACTCAGCTGCTATAGCAGTTTGGATGGCGATGTCTTTGGGGAGATGGCACGACATTGTCGGTTTGAGAAGTTGGAGACGTGCAAACTGTCGACTATGCGTATACAGGCGGCGGAAGATCTTCTCGCTTTTCTTCAGCCATCCGAGAAGACGCTTGCTACTCTTAGTCTGGTCAACATTCGTCTCTCTGATGAGGTTACTACGTGGATGGATCTTCTCAGCACTATCGCTTCGTCAGAGGATGTTCTACCAAAGCTAGATAATTTTTCTCTAGGAAACATGTTTACCCTAAACAGGTTCAACATTTGGTTGAAAGGAAAGAGAGGGTTGTGCTGTGTTGGCGAGGACTGGCGGGGCCAGTTGTTCGACGCCATTAGCGAAATCGAGGAGCGACCCCCGGAACTACCATGGGGTATGGTCGCTGTTGTATATCCATTTGTTGGGTTTAGCGTGTAAAATACGTCAGAAAATAGGTAGAACTTCTAACAGATACTGCACTGAGGCTGTGAACCTTCTAGGTAGAGTTGATGAAGATTCGAATATACGTCTTCTTCTCTCATATTTGCTTACTGGCATCGGGTGTATGACGTGCAACAACCAGACAGGTGCACAAGTACGTCTATTTTAAATAGCTAGCGTCTGACTAGAACAGAAACCCTCTATCAAATTGGCTTGCTTCTCATGTATATCATCTGGGCCAAAGAGAAATCGTCAGCGATGCAGTGGAGCAACTTTGAGAAACTTTGATATCAACACACTTTGCCAACCTATATGTCGAACCAGAATGACACAAACATGGAAAGAAGTATGGCAGGTGCGACCTTAAGACAAATGACGAAGGTGGCCGTGCGAGTAGTACATCCCCGAGGATCGCGAGCGATGTGTGATAACCTTTGGCTGTGGCCCGATAGCCGTTTCGCATTGCGAACCAGTGACGGACCGCCTCGGCCGTTACTGCGAAGTGGGTCAGATCGCAGAGCCGATCAGCTCAGTTCCCTGCAAAGCATGAAGTAGTTTAAAAGTAAGTCGTCCACTGTCAGAGCCCAATCTAGGAACCCATGGGTACAAACAACTTTGTGCGGCACCGGTATGGTAGTATTCGGGTAATGTACGTGTTACATGACGGACAGCTCAAAGGGAGATTACTGTGATGATAAAATTTCAGCAAGACTGTTATTACCTCACACCTATATCATGGTTGAGCAAATCTCGGATGTCAGCAACGGCAAAGCTGCCACGAGTGTTCAGCGTCACATCGTAGCGGTCTCGACCGTTCGCGATCAGCAAGCGTTGAACGGGAGATAATCACCGATGGGTAGTGCAAGGGATACCCCATAACACTGCCATTACAATAGCAGAAGACTGTGGTACAAAAGTTTCGCACCCCTTGGTCTGACTGGTTGGCGAAGGGAAATGAAAGGGCGGATGCGGAATAACCCCACAGAAAAGGATAAAAATGGACGGCCGTGGTTGGTCGTGTTTCGCATGCATGTTAGCAGTCCGACAAGCCTGCCGAGCAACATGGGCGGGCAGCATTCTTGCGGTACCTGCGGCTGCAATGGGCTTGACAGGTGCTCAACCAGAGGAAGTGTTGCAGATGGGTGGGGCTTTCGGCCAGCTGGGTGGATATGTTTGTGGGAAAGGATACATGCATCCTGAGGCTTGAAAGTGGCTTGCGCGGAATCTGAGGTGTCGCCGTGAATGGGTCAGCAAATGCCATTAGTATCCAGTAGCATGAATTGGTGAAGGCGTTGCACGTGTGTGGGAGATAAGGTGGATGCTCGATATATTGGCCCTGCGGAGAGACGAATCTAGACGCACAGGTTGGCTATTTACCCAAGAACGAAGGGCCAATAAGGGCTGGGGGAGGCTCTGCTAGCGGCAGCGACCGCGTACCTCGCCAGCAGCGACGTCCCGGTCAGCACCGGCTGCAGATGGGGTGCAAGTGTGTGCAGCATTCTGCAAGACGTGGTGAAAGAAGTGAGAGGCGCACGAGTACGGGTGATGTGGTTCAAGGTGGTGATATGGGCCTTTGATGCTGGGGCAGGCGTTCGCAGGCACGGCTAAGACTGCAAAAAATAGATTAAGGTTATGCACCACGAGGGCGGCTTGACCAAGAACGGCCGTGGCTCTGGTGCCAGTCAGCTGCATCAAAGAGAGCAGGTAGATATCGTCTTGTTCCCCTCCGCAACGCTTCGAGTCGGCAGCAACACCATCGCTACCCTGAGGCAACGACAAAAAGAAGAGCGTTTCGGACATTTTGCTGTGCACATCGACATTGTCGCCCGCCTGCACACCTCATCCTCTGGCCCCAGCGGGAAGGGACGAAACACGCGCGGCTTCCTCAGGGAGCCAGGCCCTGACCCACCCCCAACACGCAACCCGACCAAAGGCGCCAGCCGGCACACGCTCATCTTACCACGCTACTGCGCCCTCGTCCTCAGGTTTCCTCACCACCTTTGCGCAGCATCACGCCTTTTGCTTCTTTGTTGCGTCGCCCGCAGCCCGTCTTTGTTCCTAGTCACTCGTTATACACCCTTCTGCTCGCCTTGTTCCTGTCCGCCTCGCCGTTGTTGCCGCCACTCGCACCCGGCTCGCTCGTCCTTATTACCGCCGTCCGCTGCATCGCTCTTTCCTTATCCCCCGTCACCAGACACACGCAAAACACCCAGAAGCGTCGCACCGTGCTCTTCTCCCGCAGTACGACACAGACAGAGCCCGACAGCGTCGCACATTGCTTCTTAACCTGGGGCTGCTGATCCCCTAACCACCCCAACCACCGTTGCCATGTCTATCCGTGCGCTCAGAGGTACGATCTGCGACCCTGCAGCGACATGACAGCATCTGACAGAAAACTAACATGATGCCAGACGCGGAAAACGTCTTCCGGATAGAAAAGCGATGTGTTGCATGTGAACAGGCACCGCTCTCGTGCGAAGGCATCAAATGTCCTGCCAACCAGGTCTGCGTACAAAACTCACGAACATGCGACCAGTGCGCCTCCGTAGGCTGCCAGTTCGACCCCACTGCAGGCGATGCTGCTCCTAGCAAACCAAACGTCGGCGCCATAGCCGGAGGTGTCATTGGAGGCGTCGCCTTCATCGCCATCCTCACATTCGTCGTATGGAAGTACTGTCTGAAGGGCAAGAGGAGGCCAATGTCACAGCAGAGTGAATGGCAAGATGTGGACATGTCACAGCAGGAGAAGGTGGACAACGACTTCCAGTCACGGCGGAGCGCGCGCGCATCTACACACACCGTTGCCTCGATGGCCTCATCCGTCCTTACCCGTGCCTCCAACATCATCCAAATCGCCTACATTCCTGGTGTCACGAACCGCTCAGGACCCGGATCGCCCGACCTGCTCGTTCCGCCCGTTCCTCCGATTCCTGCCATGTCGCCTTCGTCTGGAATGAGCACCCCGTACTCGACCGCCGACCAGCACTTCTTCGTTCCTGACTTCCGCGACTCGATGATGTCCTCCAGCACCGCCGGCCGCACAAGCATCGCCCCAAGTCTCGCTCAACGGGGCAGCGTCGCATCGACCATGTACCGACAAAACGCCATCGTATCTCCACTCCCTGCTCAGACCATCGTACGCGGAAAGGCAGCTGTCGTCAGCGTCAAGTCGACTGCGACCAATAGTCCCGCAGAGACTCCAAGCATGGAAACACCACCCGTACCTCAAATCGATCCCAAGCACACTGTAAAGCCCATCCGAATCCACATGCCTGGTATCAGCCCCGCAAACTCCGTCCGAAGTACCGCACAACTTGGCCCTGTCCGAGCACTGAACATCACCAAGAAGAAGAGCACCGACATCACACCACCCAAGAGCTCGTCGAACTCGACAAACAGCGCAGACCGAACCCTCGTCAACACTCCCGAAGTCCTCGTACCCTCTGCGCGACCACTCACCGGCTACTCAACAGCCTCATCAGATGACGGCGCTGCGCACTCGCGTGCACGCAGGGGAAGCTTAGCATCCGACTCTGGCGACGACTCCGACGATGACCACAAGCGCGCGCGACAGCCCCTTCTTCGCAGCAACTCGGGCAGTGACCGTGATTCGGAATATACTGAATCCCAGGATAGCACACCTACCAAGGACCGAAGTCCTTTCACAGACAGCTCGTCGCTCGAACCGCCACGACCGATGATGTCGCAGCGTATCACCTCGTACGATACTGAGCGAGGCTTGCGCACACCGATGACGCCTATTGTAGAGGAAGCGTCAGCGTCGAAACGCGGCAGTACCGTCTCAAATAGGAGGGACCAGAGTCCTTTCTCCGATAACAACAAGAGCGAGTTGTAAATGAGGTTCTTTGTTCAATCTGCAAAGACATCTAGCCATTGCGGCAATCACAGTTTCCTTACAGTTCTCTTCTATCGAAGATCTGGGCATTACGACTCCCGAGATCTGGCATCTCGGATGCATTACTCTAACTTTCGTTTTTTTTCGTTCATTGATATCCAAGCATCTTTCTGTCATGATCTGATTGATCTTCAACTTAACGTCTAGCTTTGACGGACGTAGTGCGATGACCACCGCACGGTTTTATATTCCTGTATGTATGTATTTCGAGCGCTGAGCGAGCAAGCGAAGCGACGTGGATGGAAAGGATTGGGATAAGCAGGATGGGAGATAGGCTGAAATGAAGATATTGATACTACCCCATTACCATCAAACTCCTTTGACTTGCTTCAGTGACATGATTGTAGAAATGGTAACCATAGAGCTTGGACTGATCAGATGTTTCAACGTGTTCTAGATATAGCGTCTGAAGCGCATCAGAAGCACAGACAGCCGCATTGTGAGGCGGCTCTATCCGCGGCACTGGTACATGTGTTCTACACAGCTGTCTTCTATTATACATTGTCGCACGTTGCGCTACTTGTACACCGGTGGCATAGAACTGTTGCATAATGCAAGCTACCGCTGTAATTCACCTAGAGCACGACGACGAGATAGAGATGATACAGGTGCTACTAACGGCCGGACACGTATGTGGAGCATGTCGAGAATAAGGTGGATCTGTATGCGGGACGCGGTTCTGGTCAGGTACGCGGCGTCCGGCGTATACAGAAACGGGCGTTGAACAGCATCGGGGAGCTCCGAAGTGGGCTGGAGGGGTAGCTAGCTGTAGGTAGCTACCGCGACGGGAGCATCAGCAGAAAGATACAACAAGTCTTTCTTTTCGTAATCGTCGCTTCTATTCTTATCACTCGCTCTACTCTTCCACAGTATTCAGGTTTCGAATCGTCTTCTGAATATTTACGTTCACATCCTCTCACATACCCGATCAGCTGCATAGCTTCACGACCAACGCATGTCCACCACCAGCGCATCGGCCCGCATCAAAGCCCTCTCAAACCACCTTTCCGTGCCACCTCAGCATTCGACGTCTACTCCAAGCATGTCTACAGAAAAGAAACCCCCGATTACCTGCCATGTC